TCTTTCTGGTGCACACTCTCTCTGTCTATTCTGTATCTGTTTCTATAACTAGAATACTTTACAAGTATATATAGCATTTTTATTTAAACATTTCACAGTGATGTGTGAACTTTTATGAATTAAGATTCACAACATCCTGTGAGGTAAATAACGGATATACAAGAGCCACAGAGATATATAAAAGCCCATAAACTATACATACAGAATAAGCCATCAAAAAGTTATCATTTGCCAACCATTCCTATACAGTTCCCTCACAGTTACCACAAATATTCTTTCTCCTGAGTATAGTGGGAAATTATGGTAACCTCGGGTACTTTAAAATGGTAATAGCTGGCAAATGTTTTTTTTTATGTTAACGACTGCCCTTGGGTTGAGAAATTATTCTCTAGTGGTACTTTTTAGATCTCTATTGCCAACTGAAAACTGACACTTAAAAGAATGTTGGGTGAACATGAGCAGTGAAAGAGTTCAACAGAGTGATGCCTACCTTTCAAATATAAATTGTGCGGTGAAAACATCATACAATCAGAAGGAACTGATCTTGCCTACCTCATAGCTATACCCTGCAAAATATATAGATTTAAAATTTCCTAAATCCCAAGTCTCTTTCCTGTAATTATAGGACCCAGATTTTTTGCAATGTGCTGATCAATGCAATGAGAAAATTTAATGTTGGTCATAAGGTAATACAACCCCAACTCTAATACTGGACTAAATTCTGACACCGTTACACACACTGCGTGAAACCTTATTCTGCAAGCAGTCCCACTGATGTCAAGGTACTACTCAACAAAAGTAAAGATATCCCAGTCTACCCCATTGTATGAAATATAATCACAAACATTTGAATTATGCAGGTATATTTTAATTTTTAACAATGTTTCCATTCCCTAGGAAAGGTTCCTTCACTGCATAAAATTGAATGAAACACGAAAATGTCAGTCTCCTGCTAGTTTCTGTATTTGAGCACTACGTTGAAATATGGGAAAAGAGATTAATTTTCTTTTGAATCACATAAGGAAATTAGGGCAGACACATGTTGATTAATTACATTAGTAAGAAAGATCATACACAATGTGCCTGCCTATAACTACTATCTCTGTTCTGCCATTCTGATGTCCCAAAATTGGATGCTTCTTCTTCCTCAGTTGGAATCACTAGACATGTGGGCCAAATTCTCCGCTGCCTGGTACCTTCTGTAGGCATTTACACTTCTGTAAAATGAATTCAAAGTGGGTCTAAAATATCACCAAATCAGATTGAAAGTAAAAATTAATTCCCCAGTCTTCTCAATATGAGGAAAATCAATCTTGAGCCTCAAAAGTTAAACTATTGGTGCAGACTCCACTGTCAGTTACATTATGGCATTTGACTGTTGATTAGGTGAAATCAACATACAATATATTGAGTCAAAATCAGTACTAGTGAAAGTCAATTTTCCTCAGTAGGTGAATTTGGCTTTGTGAATGGAGCATGAAACTTTGCTTCATCAGAAACCACACATGAATGTAAGAGATTAAATTACTAATACTTTATTATTAGGACTGTCTGTACTTGGCCTACAATAAATATCATTTTGAGAAAATGTTGAAGCATGAAGATAAGCATATGTCTTGCCCTCTCAGAGCTATGACTGAATGTTATTTTGATTTTGGAATGCCCGTAACAATCAATGAGAGGTTTGCATCCAGATCACTCGCAGGACACAGCCCTTACAGGGCAAAATGTTGGATAAATTATTGAATTAGTGAATCTTTTATACCTGTAATGCTACCAGAATAGTTTAATGGACTACCTGCTGCGTCCAAATTCTGGTCAAGGTGCTTAAGTATGTGTCTACCTTTAAGCTTCTAACTAGTCCCATTGACTTAAGTAGAATTACTCACAGATATTGCTGTTCGAGGATTTCAGGTTCTGATTTGAAGGAAATTCTGTGATTTTGAAATTAGTTTTGTTTTGAATGAAAACAAAGGATTTCTAAAATTCCTGTGACATGAAATTTACAGGAAAAAATGTAATCATGTCAAGAAGGTTGAGGGGAGATATGATTGCTCTCTATAAATATATCAGAGGGATAAATACCGGAGAGGGAGAGGAATTATTTAAGGTCAGTACCAATGTGGACACAAGAACACATGGATATAAACTGGTCATTGGGAAGTTTAGACTTGAAATTAGATGAAGGTTTCTAACCATCAGAGGAGTGAAGTTTTGGAATAGCCTTCCAAGGGAAGCAGTGGGGGCAAAAGATCTATCTGGCTTTAAGATTAAACTCGATAAATTTATGGAGGAGATGGTATGATGGGATAACGTGATTTTGGTAATTAATTTATCTTTAAATATTCATGGTAAATAGGCTTAATGGCCTGTGATGGGATGTTAGATGGGGTGGGATCTGAGTTACCTAGGAAAGAATTTTCTGTAGTATCTGGCTGGTGAATCTTGCCCATATGCTCAGGGTTTAGCTGTTTGCCATATCTGGGGTCGGGAAGGAATTTTCCTCCAGGGCAGATTGGAAGAGGCCCTGGAGGTTTTTCGCCTTCCTCTGTAGCATGGGGCACGGGTCACTTGCTGGAGGATTCTCTGCTCCTTGAAGTCCTTAAACCACGATTTGAGGACTTCAATAGCTCAGACATAGGTGAGAGGTTTTTCGCAGGAGTGGGTGGGTGAGATTCTGTGGCCTGTGTTGTGCAGGAGGTTGGACTAGATGATCATAATGGTCCCTTCTGACCTTAGTATCTATGAAAACACTTTGTTTCAATAAAATTGAAACATTGCATTTCAATTTTGACATTTTTAGATTACATATATATATACACACACATACATATTTACAATATAAACGAAAATAAATTTCCAAACAAAAGGTCATTTTGACATGAAAAATCAAAACATTCCATTCCAAAAATGTCACAGTGGAATGTATTGATTTATCAAAATACTCCCCCCCCTTTTTATTTCCCAAAAGGGAATTTCTTTGGAAATCAACACATTTCCATAGGAAGTTTCTGTTTCAATTAAATGACATTTTCTGATGGCAAAACATTCACTTGGAAAATTTTTGAGCAGCTCTTTTTACATGCTTAAAGTTAGGCACATCCTTAAGTGCCTTGCTCAACTGCATTCTCTTTTGGTAAATTGGAAGTAACCCAGAGAATCATAGGAATGTAGGACTGAAAGGGACCTCAATAGTTCATCTAGTCCGGTACCTTGCAAAGAGGCAGGAGTAAGTATTACTAAGAACCATCCCTAACAGGTGTTTGTCTAACATGTTCTTAGAAACCTCCAGTGATAGAGATTCCACAAACTGCCTAGGTAATTTGTTCCAGTGTTAACTACTCCTACACTTAGGAAATGTTTCCTAATGTCTAATCTAAATCCCCTTTGCTGCAATTTAAGCCCATTACTTCTTGTCCTGTACTCAGTGGTTAAAAAAGAACAATTTATCACCCTCCTATTTATAACAAACTGTTACATACTTAAAACTGTTATGTCCCTTCTCGGTCTTCTCTTTTCCAGACTAAACAAATCCTATTTTTCATCTTTCTTCATAAGTCATGTTTTCTAGACTTTTAATTGTTTTCTTACTCTTCTCTGGACTTTCTCCAGTGTTTCCACATCTTTCCCAAAGTGTGATGCCCAGAATTAGACACAGTACTTCATCTGAGGCTTTATCAGTGCTGAATATAGAGGGAAAATTACTTCTGGTGTCTTGCTTACAACACTGCCACTAATATATCCCAGAATTATGTTCACCTTTTTTTTAAAAATTTTTGACTCATATTTAGTTTGTGATTCACTATACCCCACAGATCCTTTTCTGCAGTACTCCTTCCTAGGCAGTCATTTCCCATTTTGTGTCTGGGCAATTAATTATTCCTTCCTAAGTGTTGTGCATTGCATTTGTCTTTATTGAGTTTCATCCTATTAATTTCAGACAATTTCTCTAGTTTGGCAAGGTCATTTTTAATTCTAGTCCTGTCATCCAAAGCACTTGCAACCCCTCCCGTCTTGGCATTATCTGCAAACTTTATAAGTGTACTCTCTATGCTATTATCAAAATTGTTTATGGAGATATTGAATAGAACCAGACCCAGAACAGATCCCTGTGGGACCCCACTCAATATATCCTTCCAGCTTGACTGTGAACCATTGATAACTATTCTCTAAGAATGTTTTTTCCAACCAGTAGTACATCAATGTGTTGTAGGTTTGTGTAGGCTATATTTCCCTAGTTAGTTTAAGAAAAGGTCATGTGAGATAATATCAGAAGCTTTAACTTGCACAGCTGACTTTTCAAAACTTTTTTTTGGTTGTTTTGCATTTCCAAAGAGCTTGTATTGATCATTTGTGTGTTCTATTTCTTCATTTCCTCACTCTCACCATCACTATCATGTAACAGTGGAGAGTCACACTGTATGTGTAATTGTAGCATTCACCATTGTATATTAGATGGCAAACACTCACTCCAGTGTAGGTTATTCATAGCTTCCATATAAAACAGAGGTTTATTTCTGTGTGACAGAAAATGAGGCATTACCATTTTAGTGTCTTCAGTCTGACGACTGACAAATGGCAAATGCATATTCTCTGTGCAACCATTCCTAAAGCATACACAGTGCAACATTTTCAACAGCATTTATGTGACTTAAGAGTCTAAGTCCCATTTTCAGAAATAAGATAGGCACTAGGGCCCAAATCCTCAAACATCCGTAGGCACCTAACTCCCACAGATTGGAAGTTAGGTGTTAAATATGTTTGAGGATCTGGGTTTAGACGCCTAAGTCCCATTGACTTCCAATGAGATTAAGGCTCCTAAGCCTCTTACACATTTTTGAAAATGTTTCCCATAATATTTAGTTTTAATTACTTATTCTTAGCATATATATGTATATATTGGGCACCAACCTTTCCCTATCACAGTGATCCCGTCTGGGTTAACCTCATGTTGCACGCTGGTTAGCAAGACATTGAAATGCTCAAAATGCTTATCATACCTGATTGTGGACTCTGTTTTGGGATTTTAGCTGCTGCTTCGGGGCTGGTGGTAGAGCGCAGACGCTGATTGGAAGAGTTATGGACGCTACTGGGAACAGCTGCTGAGATGTTCTTGCGAGGTTTCATATCTTGCAGCCACATTGGGGATGCTTCAAAGGCCTGCATTCGCCGAGAGTGGCTGTTAGCATTGACTTTGAGAAATGCCTGAGCCTTGTATTCCTGAAGGTCTCCATAGTTGGCATCTGTCACCCTGCACTCATACAAGCCTTCATCCTTTTTCCTCACTTTTGAAATCTGCAGCTTGTGGGAGATGTCATTCCCTTGTACTTTCACTGTCTGCAAATTTTCCAGGAACAAAAAATATCAGACATTACCATTCTCATATTCTTTCTCTATGAAGAATACACTGACATACAGAATGCAGCTATCCTAAGAGGATGTCTGCAGTTAGACACCTGGGGCTGACCTGTGACAGCTGATTTGGGCTTACAGGACTCATACTGCAGGCCTGTTTAATTGCAGCATAAACTTCTGGGCTCAGGCTGGAGCCCAGGCTCTAGGACCTGCAAGGTGGAAGGGTCCCAGGGCTCAGGTTGCAGCCTGAGCCTGGAAGTCTACACTTCAATTAAACAGCCCTGAAACCCAAGCCCTGAGACCCTGAATCAACTGGCAGAGGCCAGCTGGAAGTGTCTAACTGCCATATAACATACCCTAAAAGACCATGAGCCAAACCAATGTGGTGTAATTTTTCTTATTTCAGTGAAGTTACACCAAAGATGAATTTTGCTTTCTGTAGGCATATGGACAACTGGTGACTTAATTCCAAATCTGCTTTGATGGTATGCTCTGAAATGTTAATTGGCCTCAGACAAACAACCCAGTCTCCCATGCTCTTTAATTAATTCTTTCAGATCATGAGCATTCTTAATGAGCTTTCTTGCATGAAGCTGCTGATAGTGTATTTCTTTGGTTAAACCTTTCCAATTAGATAACTTTGTTGAATCATTGAGATTTTGAACCACTGCATTAACAGCCTTATTTAAGATGTTTGCCAATGTTTACATTTCTTTAACACTTTATTAGGCTATCTTGTAGTCTTCCTTGTTTTAAAAAGTACCACTTGACATTAAATGTGTCTCCTTCAGGTTTGTGCAAGGCTTTGTGAATTCATTTGTTAACAGTAATGATGAGGCATCTGGTGACATGTAGCCAGTTTTCCCCCCTTTTATTTATAGAAGCATGTGCTTATTAAAATATTGTGACAGTGATTTGACAATAGAAAATTGCTCATACTCTATGTTATGTTGTGAGGCATCAGCTAATACCAAGGCACGCAATGTAACCTTTGCTATCCTAAGGCAGCATAATGCATTTTTCACCTTGTGTAATTAATTTAAAAGCACAAATTATTTATTTTTGAAGACATAACAAGACATTGTAATTTACTCATAAGTGAAAGTTACCAAGAAACACTAGCAAAAGTAGCAGATTTTTCCCCCTGTACGCTTCTTTCCATATAGTCATTTATATTTAAGTGTATATTACTTTATATCTGTGATTCCAGAACACTTTTTCATTTATGGATTACCCTAACAGGAAGCCAGTTTGAGGGTTCATCATCATTGAAAGCTATGAGTTTTAGGGAGTGCCCTTAATTCTGCTGCCTATATCCGTTATATAAATTCAGGTGCAAATGTAGCTTCATTTCATGTAAATACAGAAGATTAAAGGCAATATGCAGTAGAGAAACATTCGGATAATGAAGATGTGACAGATCTTGGAAAAGGAAAAGTATTACACTGCAATCAGGTATGTGTTATTTATGATTATGCAACATAATGTTCCTGACAGCTTGACATATCATAGTTCCCATTTTGGCAAAGCCCTTATCCAGTCTGCTGTGTAACTTATGGATACATGTCAGCAGCAAGAAATGTGATAGACTTTTAAGCATACAATGTTATTGTTCCCAGCTCTGCATATGAATTATTTTATATGGCAAACTCTACTCACGGCATAAATTAAATGTTTCAAGCATTAAATGTAATCATTGTAATCATTGTAATAATGTAATCAACATTAAATCTACAGAAAGTGCTGGATAGTTAAACTTAATCAGTAATAATATAATACCTATACTGATCCAGTTATCAAAAAAACAATAAAAGAGAAATGGAAAGGGCAGTCAGCATGTAAACCGTCTCTGTGGGCCAAATTCTGCCTTTATGAATCCCCGTGCAACATCAACAAAGTCAATGGTGTTGCAGAGAAGTAACTGAGTGCAGAATTTGTTTTCTCTTTAGCCATTTCTAAATTTTAAAATGCAAAGAGAGCATGCTTAATTATATAGTGTTCCTCTTCCAAATTATATATTCATAGATTCTAAGCCCAGAAGGGGCCACTGCGATCACATAGTCTGACCTCATGTATAACACAAGCCATAGAACTTCTCCAAAATAATTCCTATAGCAGATCTTTTAGTAAAACATCCAATCTTAATTTTAAAATTACCGGTGATGGAGAATCTACCATGACTCTTGGTAATATGTTCTAATGGTTAATTACTTTCACCATTAAAAATGTACACCTTATTCCAGTTTGAATGTGTCTACCTTCAACTTCTGACTATTGGATTGCGTTATACCTTTCACTGCTAGATTGAAGAGCCCATTATTAAATATGTGTTCCCCATACATGTACTTACAGACTCAAAGGTACTGGAACTAGGGATGCTGGGGATGCCTGGCTTGAAGTGGTTTCTCTTATATACAGAGTTTACAGTTTGGTTCAATGGCTCTCAGCACCCCCACTATAAAAATTGTTCCAGCACACCTGTATAGACTGTAATCAAGTCACCCTTTAATACTCTCTTTGTTAAACTAGACAGATTGAGATCCTTGAGTCTATCACTATAAGGCATGTTTTCTAATGCCTTAATCATTCTTGTTACTTTTCTCTGAACCCTCTCCAATTTATCAACATACTTTTTGAATTATGGGCACCAGAACTGGAGAAAGGATTCCAGCACCAGTTTCAGCAGTGCCAAATACAGAGCTAAAATAACCTCTGAATTCCTACTCAAGATTCCCCTGTGTATACATCCCAGGATCACATTAGCTCTTTTGGTCACTGTGTCACACTGGCAGCTCGTGTTCTACTGATTATCCACCACAACCCCACATCTTTTTCAGAGTCACTGCTTCCCAGGATAGAGTTCCCCATCCTGTATGTATGGACTGCATTCTGTGTTCCCAGTTGTATATGTTTACATTTAGCCATATTACAATGCATATTGTTTGCTTGTGCCCAGTTTAACCCATGATCTAGATCATTCTGAAAAAGAGACCTGTTCTCTTCATTATTTATCATTCCCATAGTTTTTGTGTCATCTGCAAACTTTATCAGTGATGATGTTATGTTTTCTTCTAGGTCACTGATAAAGACATTATATAGCATAGAGTCAAGAAGCAATCTCTGTGGGACCGCACTGGAAACAGACCCACTCATTACAGTTCCTTTTTGAAAACTATCAGTTAGGTAGTTTTTAAATACATTTAATGTGTGCTGTGTTCATTTTATATTCTAGGTTTTTTTTATCAAATGTTTCGTGGTACCAAGTCGAACACCTTACAAACATTTATGTATTTTATATCAACACTATTACCTTTGTCAACAAAACTTGTAATCTCACACAAACATAAAAAAAAAAAAGATATCCAGGTAGACAGGTTCTATTTTCCATAAATTCATGTCAATTTGTATTAATTACTTCACCCTCCTTTAGTTCTTCATTAATCAAGACCCTTAACAGCCACTCCATTAGCTTTCCAGTGATCGATGTCAGGATGACAGGCCTATAATTACCCAGTTCATCCTATTTACCCTTTCTAAAAATTGGCCCAACATCAGCTTTCTTCTAGTCTTCTGGAACTTCCCTGGTTCTCCAAGACTTATTGAAAATCAACATTAGCAGACCAGTGAGCTCCTCAGTCAGCCCTTTTAAAATTATTGGATGCAAGTTATCTGGATCTGCTGATTTTAAAATGTCTAACTTAGTAGCTTCTATTAAATATCCTCCAGAGATACTAGTGGAATGGAAAAAGTATTGTCATCACCATATGATGAGACTGAATCATCTGTTTTTCCCCAAATACAGAAGAGAAATATTTATTGAACAATTGCATCATTATTGGTAATTCTAGCATTTCCGTCCAGTAATGGAACAGTACTATTGTCAGGATTCTTTTTATTCCTAATACATCGAAAAAACTCCTTATTGTTTTTAACTCTGCAGGCCATAGATTTCACCTAATGTCCCTTGGCTTCCCCCTTACCAATTTTCTTCAATTCCTAACTTCTGATTTATATTCTTGACTATCAACTTCTCCTTTCTTCCATTTGTTATATTTTGTTTCTTTTATTTGTTATAGTTGTCTTCATTTCCCATTAAAAGAGGTAGGGGTTTTGTTGTTGTTGTTTGTTGTTTTTAACCACCACATTCTTCTTCAGTTGTGGGATTGTGGCTTTTGACGCATCTAGTTAGGTGTTCTTAAATTATTCCCAATTATCATCACATTTTTCTGATTAAATTCTTTCTCCCAGATGATTTGTTTCATAATTGTTTTCAGTTTTGTGAAACTGGCTATATTAAAGCACTATATATATATATATATATAAGTTAATGGTAGCTTAAGTACAAGTCATCATGACTTGATCACATTTAAAATGTGCAAGAAGAATTACGTTCAGACCATCAAATAAATAAATAAATATTTTAGTTCTGTGATCAGTTCCTCTTTATCTGTTAGGTAAAGGTCTAATATATAATTTCCCTATATTGGCTGATTTAGGACATTGTCATCTATAATGTTTAGAAATTCCAGTGATGGCTTATGCTGGAGTTCTCATGCTGCCAGTCACTCAAATTGAAGTCCCCCATGATCAACTTTTTTTCCTACGTATTATTGATAGGTGCATAAGGAGATGGTTGTCCTGTTGCATAATGTAAATTAGTAGTCTGTAGCAGACAACAGCTCATGTCCCACATTGTGCTTTATCTGTTAGGACATTGATCACCAGAAATGGTGAGATTCAGCATTGTTAAAAACCCAGCCCCTACATGTTACTGTCTCTTGATAAGGATCTATCAAATACAGTTCACCGTTTATTCTCCATTTGGTATGGATACATTCCATTAAAGCTAATAAGAATTCTATTCAGGCATCCAAGAAAAAGTAGTCTTCTTTTATAGTCAGTAGATTTAGAATGCCAAAGTAATGTAGACAACATTTTTATTACAAATATAAAATATCTATTACACAAGCCTATGAATATATTGGGCTGTATAATAGAATGGCCAGGCTTTAATTATCGACACACATAATAAGAGACAAGTATAATGTGAAAGGCCTGAACTGTAACAAAGATGAGCCAGATCCTGTAGTTCTTATTCAGTCAACATTTCTATGGACTTTGGTGGGAGTTTTGAATGAGTATGTTCTGAGTAATTAATGAGTTTATTGGTAATGGTTGTATTTCTATTGCAATAGTGCACAAAGGCCCAAATCAGGGGTCCATCAATCCTCTCCGGAACATATGGTCCATTCCATGAAGGGTTTACAGGGTAAAGTGACAAGCAACATAGGAAATGTGAATGAGGGGGCTGTGGTCAAAATACGTACAGTGTTTGATATAATGTATATACATTAAAATGTCACTTTAACTATAGCCAACTGTCCTTCAACCTCCCATTAATTAGTTGGCTAATTACATGTAGGCACCAGAGAAGAAGGGAGTGAAGGCTTTAACATACATGATTATCTTATATTGCTGATTAATGTGGTTGTTGCTGATTTAGGGCCAGATTGTGCCTGTGTCGGGCTGCACTGCCCCGTGAGAATTCAAGATGGATTCTGTCTGAGAGGCAAAATCCCTTTGGAGATCATGTGAGATGTGTACACTGCAGTATTTGTTAAGAATGAACAATGGTCCCATCTCCTTAAATCTCTGGGGCATTGGAAGGGAGAAGTCCCTCAGCTCCTCTGAGTGCAGGGACAGCAAAAGAGGGGAAAAGCTCCTGTGCCCTCCCCTCCCTGCTATCAGGTCCGGTAGCAGGGAGGGGAGGGCACAAAATTGTGTAAAAACTTTAATCTCCAAATGGGAGATAGAGTCCAATCCTGCAGGCTTGGCACAGAGAGAGCACACCCAATAAAATCAATAGAGGTATTGCCACAGGAAGAACTGCATCCTGACTCTTCTCAGGTCAGTTGCCCTCTCAGCAGCATCAATGTCTGTTCTCTGCCAGCTTTAACTAATTTCTGAAATCACCCATTTAAATAGCTACCTATTCAGCTGAAGGGATATGCCATTTCTGGGCAAACTTTCAGCATTTATTCCTCATTTAGAATTCTGGGACTGCATCAAGCTCTCCAGGGGTCAATCCCACAGGAGGGGTTAATTGGGGGTGGGATTCTGTGCCAGGTGAGAATAACCTTGTGGAGTTGCTCCATTTGCAGAGTGGAAGAGGGCATAGTGGGCTTTTCTCCTGTTGAATAAGCCAGAGGGTGCACCCATCAATTTAATGGATCCCCAGATGGCCAGGGCCAGCCAAAGGAAATCCATGTACTTCTGTCAGCCCTGCATCCCCTCCATCTTGTCCTGTCACCATGACTCCAATGGAACTGTGGTAACAGGGCTCCCCCAGCACCATCATAAAAGGAGGAGAGGGGGAGCGATCTTGCCACCAAGAGGAGACTCCAAAGCAGAGCTTGTACAGTCCCAGGATTTCTGGGAGGAGGGGGGTGATTTGCATGGCACTGGTACAGGGACCTCCAGCCTTCACCACTACCCAAAGTGTGCCTAAACCACTGCCCACCTTCAGCATGCTCCGTTCCCCCCTGGCAGATCCCAGCCCCATGGAGAGCCCTCTGCAGGGTCTTGGAAAGTAGGTCTGGGGTGAGGTGAAAAGGGGAGCAGTGCTCAGGAGGAAACTGATCCAGCTTTCCTTGCAGGATGAGGAATATTTGGGGCAAGCATGCCCTGGACCGTTATTTTGCTTTTGTTGAGGAAATCTGTACCAATGCAGTTTAATGAACCCATTGGGGCTGTATTGTTTTCTGTGATAATGTGTACAGGACTAGGAAAGCCTCTCTTTCTGAGTCTCTCTCATCCTGTAAACCAGCCTGGGGAGGTGAGAGGGGAGGAACAGAGAAACTAAAGTAAGCTCCATGACTGTGATTAGTTGGTTCCCCACAGGCTTTTGGGTGCATGTTAAATTAATGGCAAATGTAAAGTAATGAACTATGTAGGAATGCTCTCTCTCTATTTTTTCCCCCTCAAATACTTACGCTTATCTTTGTTCCGTCATTGTCCAAGTCTCTCTCTGGTAAGAGCTCCACCTATTGGGAAAGGATGACAGTTGTAAGGAGCTGTTGCCGTGCAGTGCTGGGCTACTGGCCCTTGTGCAAAATAATCACTAAAGCGAAGCAGATTGTATCAGCCAGCCTTTCCCCGAGAACACTTGCATGCCAAGTGTGCCACCTACAGGCAGAACCACATTGGGAGAGTTGAACAGACTGAATTTAGCTTCAATTCTATGCAAGTGCTATTGCGGCAGCCAGCATTATGGGATTGTGGCACACTGAAAAAAACACTATTGAAAACGAGGACAGATACGTAGCGTCTTCTCGTAAGACTAAACTGTCACTCTCCATCCTATTACGATCAGGCTTCAGGACGGATCCTTAATATAAAACTCGTGTGGACGGCATAGGAGGATTAAAATGTTAGAGACAATGAATTGTTTTCCAGTCCAATCTCAGTGAAAATGTTCAAGGCAAAGGTAGAGCTCCCTCTCCCCTTTCTTTACAAAAGTAAAGACTGAGCCCAGTGGATGCTTGTGTGGTTGTCCTGAAATCCTAAACTGATTCCTATTAGAAGGATGTTTAATCTTTTTCAGTGTAACTATCAACCAGAAACAACGCAAGGGGGGAAAAAACCGAGGTTCTCCCCAGAAAACAGTCCTCGACGCTGGACTTGGAAGGCTACAATTATGGTTTGTTTGTTTGTTTGTTTGTTTGTTTGTTTTGAAGGTGTGCATCCCCAATAACAGCATCCCCCCCCCCCCCCGCTGAATTAGACTTACAAATGCGAGTGCCCCAATGGCTAATAAGGGATTGTTGTAGTATCTTGACCTTGGGGAAATACAGTCCTGCAAGCAGCAACTCTATTAACATATGCGTTGTTTGAAGAGAGAATCAGGCTTGAGAAATCCATGTCGCTTTCCTAAAATGTGAAGCTGAGCTAGGGGAGCTAAGATCCCATCCCCTGGGGTGGGCATTTCTCCCTGCAGCCTGCTGGGTTAGTTCATGAGTAGCACATTAAGCCTTAGGCGAAATCCACTTCCCTCCCCCCCCCCCGCCACTTTTGGCGTGCTTGGGTGGATTGCCCGCTTGGAGGGGGAGGGGGAAGCCCAGTGGAGGCGCATCTGTACCTGAGTGCCCGTCACCTCGCCTCCAGCCTCCTGCTCCTCGGCTGCTCGCAGAAACCACCACTGGATCTCGAGGTACACGGAGGCTGAGCCGCTCTGGAAAGCGCACGACATCTCCACGTTCTGCCCTTCAGTGGCTGTGACATTTCGGGGGAACTCGGTGAATTTTGCTGCAAAACAAACGCAAACAGCTTATTGGGATCTCCTGCTGCTTCTTCTCTCATCTTCCCACTCTCCCCACCCCCCATTTTCGTCTGTGTTTTTTTTTTTTTTTTCATGTTCTCTTTCTCGCTACCTTTTCCCATCCCGGTTTCCTTGTCCATTTGCTCATTGCCTCATTTAGTCTCCCTTTCTATGTATCGTTCCCATTTCTCTGTTCCACATCGTTTCTCACTCCCTTTCCCCATCTCTTTTCTCCTTCTCTCTCACACCCCCCCCCCATTCTCCTTCCATCCCCGCTTTGTCTCACACATTTATATATTTTCCCCAATCCGCACAACTCCCGCTCTTGTACTCAAGTCCGGCTAATGGGAAAGCTAAGTACCCCCTCTGATAGCTCCCCTGGGTTAAGAAAGTTACATATTATTAGATGCAAAATCCCTGGGTGGGATGCAGTACTTCACCAAACACATTGAGGGATTTCAGTGAAAGGCAATTTGGAAAATCAGCACCCCTCATGTATTGCATTTGCTAGGTGAGTGTATACCTTGTGAATGATTAAACACTATGGGGTTAACTGAAATAGATATTCAGAATGTGTAATGTGCTAAGAGGTGGGTTATGATCACTCATCAAAATGCACGTTTCAAACACATTAACTGAGTCACGTATTCTTTTATGATAATTCATGCTCGCACAATGAAACGAATAAACAGTGATTCTTATCATTCTTCATCCTAGCAGACTCACTTTCCAAAGCGAACAAACATCCCACCTCTTTAAATATGACTACTCCCATCTTACAACACCATTCTACGGTTGAGCAAAATTCCTACAAATGCACACAGTGCAAGACACCAATGTTTCTTAAAAGTCACCATCGAGCCTCCCTATATTTTCCTTGGGCTCGTGTGTAGGTCATTTAAAAATTGAGCAAACTTCATGCTAAATCTTGTAGACGCCACCCTGGCCAGAGAAAGAAAAATATATAAATAAACCTTCTGGTTCAAATCTAAGAAACACTGGACAGGCACAGACCCATTGCTCAAAGAATTCAACAGTCAGTTATCCAGTCCCAGCTGTGTGTTGTTATAGGCTGACAAAGCTTAGAAGGAAATATTTGCAGTGATCCCCCTTATCCCTAATGCGTCCAAGCTCGTTATTTGAAGTTTATTTGTGGGGTGATTTGGGAATATACTGAACCACCTTTTGCTTTCTAAACACTTGTACTATGAAATAGAGGCATAATAAAGCTGCTATTTCTTTTATTTTGCAGTGCCTCCCCCCCGCCCCCCGACATTATTTTTAGTCAGTGCTAGCTATTCAGCTAGTTAACGGGCAAAGGGACTCTTCATTCTGCATGCACAGGGATGGAAAGAAGTTCTCCTCCCTGGTCAGTGCTAAACAAAAACATATCAAGACGGGAGTTGCGTGTGCAGAAATGATGCAGCGTTCAGCGGGCAGCCTGAGACGCTCTGTCCTAGGTGCTGAAATGATCACTGCAGCCCTCAAAGTCCCAAGCAACTGGATTCTGCAGAGCTGGGGCTGCTTGGAATGCGAGACGCCCTTTTCAGTGGGGTCTTCAAAGAAGTCGATCTTTTTTGAGGTCTATACATAGTCACTAAAGGGAAACAAAGGGCTGAGACTGAGGAACACGGAAAAGAGTGGAAAGGGAGCCAGATCCTATATAGATTTCAATATTTAATGGATGCACACGATTTAGCCATCTTATATTATGTGTGCATGTAATAGTTATGTATGTCTGGGTGGCTATTCGCCGTAAGCATATATAGACACACAGCCCAAGCACGCGTATGTATGCATTCATTACAAATATACACACAGCATTTTCGTCTGTTTCTCATTTTTCCTCCTTGCAATGTAGTATAAGCAGTCGGTTTAATTCTCACGAGGGGTAAACTTCTCCCCTCTTTTGCTGCTTGTTTGTAATTTCTAAGGCTTGAAATCTATATTTCCCTCTGCATCTTTTTGGAAGCCCTGCTTCGGATTTTAGGGAGTACACACACGCACACACATTTGACAAAGCGCGATCTTACCTTGGGTAGAAAGTCCTTGTTGAATATACAAAACGGAAAAGAAAACGCATCCAACATAAGCCAGAAAGATCCCCATCATTCCAAAGCGAAGCAAAAGTCACATCAGGGTAACAAAAAGCAAAGGTGCCCTCAAAGAAAGGAATCACACACGCGCGCACACACACAAATTTACAAAAAGGCTCTCAGCTGTAGCCCTGGCTGCGACACTGCGAGCATTCTGCTACTCAGTGGAATCTTTTCTTTGGGAAGAGAAGGTATTGCAATACACTGAGGGTTCAGATCAGCTGGCTCGGGCGCTGTGATGCTTGAAGTCCAGACCCAGACTAAAAAAAAAAAAAAAAAAAGAATCGTTGAAAAGTGGGTATCAGCTGCCTTCTCTGCCTTTTTTTTTTTTTTTTTCAGCTACCTGGCAGCTCCGTCCAACGTCAGCTCCAGCTGCTCAGGATTGCGTGATGATGACTGCCCTCCCTAAACGCTGATCCGGCTTAGGAAGTGGGGAGTTTGGAAAAGGGGAGGGGAAGAAGGGAGAGGAGCCTACCGTGCTTGCATTGCTTCAACTTTTCCCTCTAATGGCTGCGATGATGCCTTTAACCCTTCACGCCTTCTGGGTTCTCTATACCTTTCTACCTGCTGTTACTTGGGCTGGGTAACATGCTGGATGAAAGCCGATTTTTGCGTATGATTGTGGAACCCAGGAGCCTTTATTGTACTGATACAATCTCCAGTCTGGCATCGGTCAAAGACCAAGAGGGCAATGCAGTGGTTTGTTTTTTAGTGGGTCTCTCTCTCTCTCTCTCTCTCTCTCTCTCTAATGTAGCTTACGGGAAAACAGTTAAATATTATGAGTATGCTGTTGAACTTCTTGTTCACTGCCCCAAATAACTATGATCACCTAATCTTTTTATTTCAAAATGTTGATCAGCTTTTTTTTTCCAAAATAGATTAACAGGATTTAAAAATAATCAGTTTATCATAGGATACAAGTATTTATATAAGATGTTAGGATATGTATGGGGAAATACCTATACACACTTATGCATGCGTATGTGTGATTTGCCCAGAAAAAAAAATCATCAGACTTTGACACTTTGATAGTCTATTGATGTGCCATATATGTATAGATACATTTATGTATCTATAGTACAGAGAAATTTTTATCTACATAAAGAATGTTTCCTTCCAGACTGTATTCATTGCACATTCCTTGTATCGACTGGGATTCATAGGACTATGATACCATATTGCAGTCAAGAGGCAACACTTGACTATAATAGGTGTTCGAAGAGTCTTAAAAAGACCCCTCTGACCAAAATATCTGGCTGCCTATAGGAAAGGGCCATCCAGAAAGTATTCATTGCATTTAGGAAACACTAAATACCTTTGCATGTATATCAAAGACTATGAAAACAATCAGGACACGGAGTGGATATATGACAAGTAGTCAGACTGCCAGATCGTTTATATCATTCATACATATAAGGTTTTTAACAAAAATCATTTACAGCCAGTTAGGAAAGAAATGTAGCCATACAATTGCATTCTATCCATATGGACAAACTGTTTTCCCATTGAGTGAAACGTTGGGCAGGTCGGTCATTTAAAACAATGGAAATGCAGCAGTTCCACAATGGTTAAGGAGCAACTTTTGCTTTACTCACTGCACCAGTCTCTCACAGATCAAGTGATTATATCTACCTTAGACATTCGACAGAAGAAAAATAACTGTTTAGAACCTGACCACGGGACTAAAGTGTCTCCAACTTTAAAAGTGATCATTTTGATTTCACCTCAACGTTTATTTATTTTACAAATATCAGATGTCCCCTCGTTATTTATGTAGCAGAAGGAGATATTTCCCCATGATAATGGTCTGTTCCACTGATGTCACCTTTTAAGTATAGCAATGGTTTTTAATAATAATAAAAAAGAGTACATTATAAATACTCAGAAATGACTGCAGATACAGCAAAAGTACTTAATTTGGAAGGGTTTATTTTGCTATAAAGGTTTAATTGTGCTTATGGAGGTCATGATAAATGTATTGAAAATCAGAGGAAAGCCAACAAAAAAAAGGAAGAGAAAAACAAGTCCTTAAACACCATGAAACTGAATTTTCAAAAGGAACTAGTGATTTTGAGCATCTCAGTTATTAGGTACCCAACATGAAACACCTTAAAGGGGCCTAATTTTTCACAGGTGGGATCTCAGCATTTTCTGAAAAGTCAGGCACCTTTCAGGTGTCTCAAGTTGAGCTGCCAAAATCCCTAGTCACCTTTGAAAATATAGGCCGACTGATTATATGCTTCAGTTTAACTACATACGTGTCATCAGTCATCAATGTAAATTACAAATTACACATACGTTATCAGCAGTCAAGTTGAATGCAAACTAGATTGAAAAAAAGATTCTATGCAGCATCACCTGGTTTGGAGGGAAAGAGGGAACCATAAATAGAGCAATCTTTTTCCAATCCAGACAAAATTTAATTTTTGCAATTTGCAATTCCACGTGAAAGCAAACAGATTTCTCAGAAAAGTCTTATAATCAGCAGAAGTAACTAAAATTTGTGCTACCATGATAGCAAGGGGACTCTTTACTGTATATACAAAATAACGTCTATCCTTGTTAATTTTATAGCGAGCGTACACTTATTAGAAAGTTGAAATAGGGAAAAGAATCCTAAAACTTGGACTATGGTCAGTATATTGCTTTATTCACACAATGAAATAGTGTTATATGATGTTACCAAATGTTGCTAGTAGAAATTATTAGCTTTAAGCAGTTTCACATAGGAAAACAATTCCTTTTCTGCCTGTCCGAGTAAAATGCACTCTGATGTAGAGACGTTGCCCAGAGTCAACTGCATCATGTACATCCCACATTGGGGCTACAGGGAATTACTTGGACCAGACATGCTGGGAGTCTCTGCATTCCTCTTGTGCTGCAGAAAGGGTTTTTATGCTGACCCCTATAATATGGTGTGAAGGTCACTGATGATGGCTTGTGGGAGGAGTTACTGAATTGATGTTTTTGCCAATAGAGTGGCTCTCAGACGTGCATAAGTGGCAAGGAGGGGCTGTGGACACTCAGTCATAGGCTGGAGCATCTGCACACAATAATGGAGATTTTCAAAAGTGCTTAAGGATTTAGCAGCAGAAATTCCATTGATCTGGAACTGAATATTGCAGTTTCAGCCAATTTCTAATGGTCATTCATTATAATTATTGTTTAATATGTATATCACTGTAGCACCCATTCAGGATCAGTGTGTCCTTGTACGCTGTTCAAACACATAGAAAGATGGGTTCTCTAACCCAAGCAGCTTACACGCACAAGAAATGTATACCTCTATTGATTGGTCTGAGTGACTTCAAGGTTCATATTGATTATGAATTTTCTATGTGAATTATTGATCTCATTCAAAGTATGTCTTTATCTAGATCTATTGTTGGAGAAAATTGTCAGCTCCTTGAGAAGGGAAGGGCACCATCATCTGTTAAAGAAACTGTCATTAGGTTCCTCCTCAAGAAACCATGTCTTGATGTGCAAAATCTTACTTATTGATCTGTCTCAGATTTCTCATTTCTGAGGAAAGTTATCAATAAAATTGTGGGAAAGCCAACTTTAATAACATCTAGTTTTCTTTGATCCCAGCTGTGACACTGGAAGACCAGGTGCCAGCTTATTCTAAGGTCCCAGGCCTTACTGAACACTGACAAACGCATAGCTGGAAACCAATCTGGCCCACCCTAATGTCTGTATCCCATACTATATGTTAGTATTTACACATTTGCTCTGTCATTATACAAAGAATGTTTGCTAAGGGCTTGTCTACATTTATAGCACTGCAGTAAAGCAGCTGCACCTGTGGTAGTGCTTAGATGTTGCCCATGCCCTCGGGAGAGCTTCTTCTATTGGCATAGGTACTCCACCTCCCCCAGAGGTGGTAGCTATATCAATGGGAGAAGCCATCCCATTGACAAACTACTGTCTACACCAGGGGTTAGGCCAGTATAACTTCATTACCCAGGGGTGTGGATCTCCCAAACTGCGGAGCGATGTAGTGATACCGACATAAGTTTGTAATGTAGACCAAGCCTAAGACTGTAAATTCCCCACAGTCAGGGGAGAAGCATTACCAAGTGTGAAATACTTCACAAGAGGTATTATCTCCTGCCCATCAGGAAGGGCTATTGCATCCAAATGAGCCATTGTGGAACAAAGACTTTGTTGATTGCTTCATCCACAGCACTGAAGAGGGTATATGCCCAAGCCTTTGTCCCATCACAGCTTGGACACTGGGGGAAAAGAATAAAAATGTCTGTTAAGAAGAACTTAGTATTCCTTTGTTGCTTGACTTCTGAGGGGTGAGGATTTCTAATAGGGCATGGCTACACTTGGAGATGTAGAGCGCTTTGAGTTAAACCCACCTTTGGAGAGCACAGTAGGGAGAGCACTGCAGTCTGTCCACACTGACAGATGCAAGCGCACTGGCGTGGCCACATTTGCAGCGGCATTGGGAGTGGTGCTTTGTGGGCAGCTATCCCACAGAGCACCTCTTCCCATTCTGGCACTGTGGCTTGTGGGAAGGGGGCGAGGGATGCAGGGCATTCAGGGTTCTGTCCCAACGCCCCGTGATGCATCGATTCGCATCCCAGCAATCCCTCTGCTTCTCTCCACATTTGGCGCCATCTTTCAATGTTTTTTATACTGCACACCCTGTCTTCCCTTTCGGTCTGTGGGAATGGAGCCCGAACTGCTGAGGAGCATGCTGATGAGTCTCACCAGCACGTCACATTTGGCAGTCGAGTTATTCCTTATGATCCAAAGTGACAGTGAGGGCTCTGATGATGATATCGATTCGAGTAACGCATATGACGCGAGTTTGCTTGTGGCATTCACGGACGTGCTCACCACTGTGGAATCCCACTTTTGGGCTCGGGAAACAAGCACTGAGTGGTGGGATCACATTGTCATGCAAGTCTGGGATGATGAGCAGTGACTGCAGAATTTTCGGATGAGAAAAGCCACTTTCTGTGTGAGAAGCTTGCTCCCACCCTGCAGCGCAAGGACATGAGATTGAGAGTTGCCCTGCTGATAGAGAAGTGGGTGGCTATTGCAATCTGGAAGTTGGCAACTCCAGACAGCTACCGATTGGTCACTAACCAGTTTGGAGTGGGAAAGTTGACCATTGGAATCATGTTGATGCAAGTTTGCAGGGCCATTAATCGTATCCTGCTCAGAAGAACCGTGACTCTTGGTAATGTGCATGACATTGTGGCTAGCTTTTCACAAATGGGTTTCCCTAACTGCGGAGGGGTGATAGATGGCACACATATTCCAATTCTGGCACCAGCCCACCTACCCCCCGAGTATGTTAACCGGAAGGGGTATTTCTCTATGGTTCTCCAGACACTTGTGGATCACCGTGGGCGTTTCATTGACATTAACGCAGGCTGGTCTGGAAAGGTGCATGATGCACACATGTTTCGGAACACTGGCCTGTTCAGGAAGCTGCAAGATG